GAATTTAGCAGAGGACAGAGCTGGACAGCTGACCCCATATAATCCATAATATCATGCCCAACAATAGAACAGGGTGGAGGAAAAGGGTGAGATAGAGGGTGTATTCAAAGCTGTTTATCAGAGACTGATGGTCTGCTTGTGGGCTTTGGTGAGTGGTTGCCCTAGCATATATTTTTTTTAGTCCTTACTTATTACATTTAATAATTCTCACTTTTCTTTTCCTTTACTTATTAAACCATCTTTCAGTTGACCTATTGGTGCTCTTTCTTTTTCTCCTATTCTCTCCCCTGTTTCACTAGGGAAGGAGGGAGGAGGAAGTGAGCTAGCAGCTGTGTGGGTGCTTACCTGCTGGACATGATCAACCCACAATAGCAGGATGGAAGAAAAATACATTAAGAGCACAATCTCTGAGGAGTGGAGGTTTGAGGTTTGAGGGAATGAAGTACCTCTAATGAGAATCATGCCGGGGAAGAGGCATTTGTGCATCCACAAATGAAAGAAGGAGGACAGGGTGAGAAAACCATGACTGTTTAACCTTGAGAAGAGGAGGCTCAAGGAAGAGGATCTTACTGATGTGTCTAAAAGCCTGATAGGAGGAGTAAAGATGAAGACAGACTCCTTGTGATATCCAGTGAGGGACAAGAGGCAGTGGGCACAAACTGAAATATGAGAAGTTTCATATAATTTATTACAAAAAGAACATTCCAGTTACAGACTATTGTGCTGAAGGCTGATTCGTCATATCTGAGTGTAAAATGACACTCAGACAAAAATTGATACTGTAATATCAATTAGTAGTATCAATATGGTTAGTTCAATACTTACAGCTCTGCTGGAAATTGGGTGTAAAATGACAGCCTTTACACAAGTGCTATTTTGTAGTAGGAGTGTCGATAGATTAGTTCCATTCACAAGTATCAAAACTAACATTTCAAGATGACTCATTGTCCTAATTCAGCCTGCTTTTTAGGTTCAACCTACTGGTTTTACTTCTGACTTTTTAATTTGCTGACAGTTTTGTAGGTAAGTGTTTATATTCTTCTGTTGCAGGCAGTCCCTGGCTTTCACTGAGCAGGCCTGGTTAGTCTTGTCTACTGAGATTATTTGTTAATTGTTGCTATTCAGGTGTGTATTTCATCACGGAAATCTTGATTTCTTGGTTAAAAAGAAGAAATAGGAGCAGTCCTTTTTTTTATATATGAGTGAAACACTACACTTTTAAAAATTATATCAGCTTCCTTTTAAAACAGCAAATGCAACATGAAATTTGGGGGAGATATATGGAGCGCTTATGCTTTTGGTTACTTTAGTAGAAAAGTAGATGATTTTCATTTTATTAACTTAGTGACTTCAAAAACTTGCTCACTGATTTACTATCTGAAAAAAATGTTCATGGATGTTTTGTAGTAGCGTGGGTTCCAATCTGAGCTGAAGAGAATATTTTTGGTGTGTAGGTGCATGAAGAGTATGATCTCTTTGTAGTGCATGCTGCCTCCCTCTCTGTGGATTCTCATTAGCTGAACATAAGGAGACAGAGTTCTGCAAGCGTGGCAGTACACACAGAACTGTTGCATGAACAGGCAGTGCTTTTCACTGTATTTCTGTACTCTCACATTGCACATGATGATTTTTCTTTTTGAATTTTCTTTTTACTGTAAAGATAGCTTGGGGTGTGTTAGTGTGAAATACTGAATACTGCATCTTTCTACATGAAATTGAGGGTCTCAGATGATTCCACTGAGGAAGATAATGTGGTGATTATGTTGGACATCTTCAATAGCAGTTACATTTATTTACAAAAATACAAAATACTGTGTTGCCAGAAGTTCAGAAGGGGTTCACATGTCGTCTTCTGCTGCTTGTTCTGGTTGTGCTGGTCTTTTGCAACATGACTCTTCTAAAGACCCTTCCTCATTCCTCAGTGGATCTCAGCCACATTCCTGTATGCCTTGGCCTGAAGCAGCCAGTTGTCTGATGCCAAATTTCAGACACTCACTCCAGTGGAGCTACCTGACTTTTCCCAAAAATATATTGTGTCTAGCAACTTCAAGTTTGTTTTATCTGTCTTCAGCAATGACCAGAACTAGTATATACTGCATTAAAACCCAGTCATAATGCAATGCTAAGAGCATCCTGTAAACGTTTTCCTGGAATGTCAGCAATACCAGCACACTGGCACTAGGGACCACATCCCACATTAAAAGGCTTTGGTTGACAATTCGGCTGAAGTGCAACGTCAACAACTCTGGCAGGCTGCACAGGGGCATTTTGCCCGACACAGTGACCGTACAGACTGGGTGTGCACCCTGGAGCCTCAACCTAGCCCCTTTCCAAGTAAGTAAATTGGGTGTAGACCTCCTTCGCCTCCCAAATATGAGGGTTTTCATAGCTCGTCCTGAGTGATCCGGCTGTTATTGCCAGCCCTGTACTTTTGCTTTGGGATAATAAATAGCCAGTTTTGACCGCCTGTTTTCCGTGCTTGTAAATTTGCACAGTCCCGGAGTCTGACCAAAGGGAATTGAGTACCGCTCGTGTTTCGTTCACCTCGGCGGCTGGACAAGCTCCCGTGGCTCCCCGGCAGCCTTTCGCGGGGTGAATAAAGACACCCGCGGCACATCGCGCACGTTTCGGGTCCTTGCCGGCAGACTCCGGGGGAGGGGCGGGCACGGCCGGGCACGGGCGCCGGGGGCGCCGGGACCCTGCCGCAGCGGCGCCGCCCGCTGCCGCCGCGGCTGCGGCACTGCCGGTGCCGCTCTCCCGCGCCCGGGAGCGGAGCGGAGCGGAGGAGCGCAGCCGCCGCCGCCGCCGCAGCCGCCGCTGCCTCCCGCGGCGGCCGGGGGGCGGGACACCGCGGCAGCAGCGCCGCTGTCAGCGCCCGAGGGGCTGGGGGGCCCTGCCGGCCGCGGCAGCGGAGCGGGGCCGCCCGCCGCCGAGAGCCGCACCGGGCGGGCGCCGAGCCGCGCCGCAGCAGCAGCAGCAGCAGCAACAGCAGCAGCAGCAGCGGCAGCAACAGCGGCAGCAGCAGCGGCAGCGCGCCCGCGGCGCCGGATCCCCGCGGCGGTGAGTGCGGCGGGCGGCCCGGGCGGCGGCGCTGCGGGGGCCCGTGGCCCAGTGCCCGGCGGGGCGGCGGCGGCCGCAGCTACCGCGCCGGGGGACACGGCCGCGGGTGCCCGGTCTGCGCCGGGGGCAGCGGGAATTCGGTCCATTTAACAGGTTGGGACGGGCGTGTGGTCCGCGGCGCTGTCGGCACCCCCGTTTTCGGCGTTGAGGTGGGTAGGAGCAGGATTTTTGTTAGCAATTTGTCACTGCTGCTGTTGCTAATATTGGCTTCCGATTCTATAAAACGCTTCCTAAGAAGCCGCGTCTTCAGCTGGGTATTTGATAACTCTCGGCTATCCGGCAGCTGTCAAAAATACCAGGACGTGTAGTTGTTTTTCTCCAGCCCCATTCGGGTTTTAAGATGGCTCATACACATAAGGAAATACCAAAACTTTTCTTAATGGTAACAGAACGAAAGGAGAACAAGAAATAGCTTTGGGCATCCTTATGGCTCTAAAGGCGGTTTAATCTCCCCAGAGTGGTATTTTCTTAGGCAACGACCCCTACTTTAAATCAGTTTTTTTCATAAAGTTTTCGAAGAACCGACACTTCCTTGTGCCAACTTTTAAACTCTGTAATGTGGTATTATTTTCTTTTTCATATGTAATTTATGCATAATTGAATATTATTCCTTTATTTTATTTACTGAATGCATTGTCTGAATCTGTCGAGGGGTTCTTTTATCCTTTTCGTTTATTAGGTACAGGATTACTTGCAATTTTACTAAGATAAATTGGGTTATGGAATTAAATAATTTTGGGACTAACTAAAGGGAGACACTGAAATTCATGCCATTTCTAAGTTTGCAAGACCTAAGTTAGAAGTCCCGGAAAGGATGAGTAATTGATAGGGGTTTTAGGTCTTTTGTGGGCTGGCTCTTGTTTGTTTTGGTTTTTTTCTGCAGGGCATATGACATTTGCAAAAATTTGCCACTGTATCCTTGAAGGATCATGCTGTAATAAACAAGCAGTATTACTAGACACATTTTTTTTCTTCCTACACACTGTGTCGCTTGAATAATTTTGGTGTTCTACAGCACAAAGGCCTTGTATCTTTGTGCATACAAAGTGGTTGAAGAGGATGAAACAACTAATTGGTTGTGAATAAAAGAAAAAGAAATCAAATGGCAAACAACTAAAATGCTCCATGGTCAGTTCCATGTTTCTATAGCAGTACTTAATAAGTAGGCAGGTTTCAAAATACAGTTTTTACATTCATACAGAACAGTCTGTTTTCAAGGTGTCTTATTTTATGGTTTTGAAAATATAGCTGTACTCTCTGAAGTCAGTGAAAAGATTTATACAGGCTTGCCTGACTTGCAAGAATTAATTCTAGAAACTTTTCCAAGATGTTATTCTTTCATGTGAGCACACGTTTCTGATCTTTCTGGGTCATATGCTTTTAAGCTTCCAGTAGAAGACCTCTGGACTTCTGGGCTGGTTCCATCCTTCTCCTGCATGGAAAAAGATTCCATTTAGGCTTAGCATAAAATTTGTGAAATCTGTGTTGTATTTTTTGTGTGGCTGGAGAGGCAATCTGGGTTTTAGGTATCTTGCCATGTTCTTATATTCATTCTTCTCATGCCCAGTTATGGAGGAGGTGCATAAAGTATAGTTATTTGAAACTGAAAATCTTGTGCTGCAATGTACATATGTTTGGTTGTTGTTTTTACATTGGAATAGGGAGAAATTTCAGTTTTTCCTGTGTCTGGATCTAACAATATCTTTTGATTGAAACTTTCATTTCTAGTCAAGTCTAAAGTGTTAAAAATTACTGATGACAAGGTTGCAATGATTTGATTTTGAAATGTGTGAGTCTCTCCTAAACTCTGAGAATTTGGAGTACATATAACATTATGCATTTGTGTCTTTACATACAGGCAAAACCCAGTTCTGCAGTATCTGAGGATGGATAAAGACTTCCGCTACTACTTCCAGCACCCGTGGTCTCGCTTAGTTGTGGCTTACTTAGTGATCTTCTTTAACTTCTTAATATTTGCTGAGGACCCAGTATCCCACAGCCAGACAGAAGCCAATGTTATTGTTGTTGGTAATTGTTTCTCCTTTGTAACAAACAAATACCCTGAAGGAGGAGGCTGGAGATTTTTGAAGGTCTTTCTGTGGCTCCTTGCCATTCTCACAGGACTGATAGCTGGGAAATTTCTCTTCCATCAGCGCTTGTTTGGTAAGTTAAAAGATGCATCTGCTGACTTCCTGGTAATGGCTTTCTGACTTTTCCATTTAGCTTTTTACTGGCGGCAATTTAGTAAACTTTGCTTTTAATCACTTCTATTGTTTAGAGCTGTATAGAACTCAGTACATCAAAGCTTACACTGTGATGGAAACTAATGCCATAGCATAACTCTCAGTGATTCCAGTCAAAAAAGGATAAAAATAGTGAAAGCTGACATGTCTTAAATACTTGGGACGCCAGTAACTTTCAATTTTTCTGTCTTACAAATGTACTTCTTTGCACTATCAGACGAGTTTTTATGTCTTATTATATAACTTTCTCAACAATTTGAAGAAAAGGAATTCTTCCTTGGGGCAGCAGCTCTTCATGTCTTGTCAAAAGACACTTAAGTGGAAGCAAAGGCTCTTGTAAGTATTAGCAGAGCTGTGCTGAAGAGCTCCCGTGTGAAAATGAGAATTCTAGAGAGGTAGGACCTGTCTCTGTTTTAGTACAAGAGCAAAGCAGTAAAATGGAAAGGTGGGAAATGGGGAAAAACATGGCAGTAAATGTTTCCATACACAAGCTATGACTTAACTGAGGAATGTACTGTACATGAACTAACTGAAAGGGATGAAATGGCTCTGGAAAAAAAATCTGAGACTGAGAACTTAGATGTAAATATATAGAGATAGAAAAATATCCATTGTTGTCTTAATTCACCTGTAGAGAATGTTGCATCTGAAGGCTCAAGGCTGTCTCTGTTCTAGAGATAACTAGAAATCTTCAGTAGAAAAGATTTCTTTGTTTCTGCCAAATACAGAGGTCTCCTTGGCCAGATCTTATGAGTTCTTGGAGACCTATATCACACCTGAGATAGCTCAGCCACCTCAGATGGCATAAAATCAGCAGGATGCCTTCTGTGGTAGTGTTGGAAACAGAAAAGTTTTAATAAAAGGCAAAATAACAAAGCTCTTTACAGAGAAAACCCAAGCCAGGGGCAAGAGGCTCTTGCTCCTGCTAAAACACCTCACAAAAGCAAGTAGTTCCTTTTGTTATCTTCTTTTTCTAGTAAATTGCTTAGGTGGGACTTTTTTGATTCTGTCCAATTAGCTTTCCTTAAGTTTGAGGTGAAGTCCCCAAGGTCCTATGAGGTGTCTTTTTACCTACTGAGGAGAGAAACTTCTGGGCTTATTCCCTTTTTAAGGAGACAAAGGACAATTTGGTCACTCCATCAACAGGGGGCACATTCCTACATCTGCCAGTTGCACTATTTTTTGAAACATCTGATTCTGGGTGTGTTGCTGCTGGTCTGGATGGACAACCCCCATATTCTTATACTGGTATCACTGCAGGATGGATGGTTACTGGAACACCTCAAAGCACATGAGCAATAGGCCATTTCCTTAGTCTGTCTCATTCTATTAAGATCAAGAGAGAGCCACTATTGTTTCAATAAATCAAATGTAAAGCTGTTGTGTTGAGGAGTGAACAAGCAAAGCCACATCAAATGACTTTTAATACAGACTTTTCTTGAAGTAGTTATTCTGAAAAATGATTAAGCATCATGAAGACTATTCAGCTGTTTTACCATAGTGTAATGGTAAATGTAAAATGTTCCCATAAAGAGGGCATTTTACATGGAACAAGGGCTACCACAAGAATGCTTTCAATTCTGGCTTCCCCCGTTGAGAAATTTTGTTAAACTGAAGATGTTTAAGGAAAAGTGATGAAACTGATGATAAATTTAGAAAATTAGCCCAATAGTGAGAGGATTGAGAGGATAAAGGGAAGATTAGAGAGTGACTTGCTCAAATTTGAAGGGCAGAACTTTTAGTTCAGCATATGTAATGCAAGGTCCAGTGCTTGGAAGTGGCAAATAGCCAGCATTTTTTTTTATCTGAAAGGCTAGACAACCCGTAGAACAAGTTTTTGTAGGCTATGACCTCATCAAGACATGAATTTTTATTTTTGAGAACACATTTTTCTGACAACAGAGTCATTATCTTCTATCTAGGTAGGTTATTATGATAATTCCTTCTGGATTTGTAAGTGAATATCGTATGTAGCTAAACATAAATTTTAAAGTGGCTTGATTCAGTCTTGCTGCCAAACAGGGAAAGTCTGTCAGTGTCTGCTGCTTTGTGCAGTTGCTCAGTGAAACAGGATATTACCCATATTAGCAGCACCCATCTTTTATTTCTGTAAGGATCACGTGTCTGACCATTCTGATGTTTGTGGCAGCACTAAGATGGGGTCAGCATTGAGAGGAAACTAATGGGGAAGAAATTCCTAGCCCTGAAGGCAGTGCTGGTTTATGGATATTTGTGGCTGTGGTGTGGGCAAGCAACAGGGGTGTAGGTACAATCTGATTTCAGGCTGCACGTTGAGGTTCATGGCAATTTGAGCCAATATGGATCTGTCACAACCCCACCCTCCTAATGCCAGCCACATCATTCTGAGCCATTGCTGTTGTTGATGTGACAGTGCAGCAAGCCAGCTCAGGCAGCCAAACTCATGGAAAATCAGTTGCTTCTGCTGTCATCTGCAGCAGCTCCTTGAACTGATGTGATCACTTGAGTGCCAGTGCTGATGAGATGGCCAAGGACTGTGCAGCCAGGATAGCTGGGGGCTGTGGCAGCCATACCTTGTGCTGGCTCCAGTGCTGTGGGGCTGCACCCACACAGTGTGGCAGTGGAAATGTGCTGCTGGTGATACACTGAGAGCAGATGGCAGGCAGTGGGACTGAGGAGCTGACTGTATTGCTGACTGATGTGGCTGTGTAGCTGTGTGGATAGACATTGCAGTGATGAGAATGTGAGTTTACAGCTTCAAGTATCTCTGTGTCTCCAAGAGATTTGTACACCATGCTGAAATATTTTCTGCCTGTTATTTGCTACTACTTTAATGACTTCATTGCCTAGAAATCATTCCTTTTATTGAGATCCTCATTGAATATGTCCTCTGGATCTTCTGGCATCAAGGAGTTAATGAATTCACCCCTTTATTGTTTTTAATTTCTCTAGTCTATTTCTTTAAGTAGCTGCTACTTTTGTAATTTTTCTTTATTTGACTTTTTTAATGTATAATTGCTTAGGACCACTCTGATTTTAAATCCTTGTTTGTTTATTTATTTTTGGTTTGTTTTTTTTCTCTGCTAAACTCTGTTTGCAGAGGAAATTGTGACTGGTTGTTTCTTGTGGCCTGTGTATAACTTCCTGCAGTCAGGAAACCAAATAGCACCAGTCAGTCTTCCCCTGTCAGGTCTTGGCTCAGCATGCAGGCTGCAAATTGAAAATGAAAAGGATTAGTCTGCCTGTCTCACTTTAAATGAAGAGGAAAGGATTTTCTTTCTCTATGCCCTTTCTGCTTTTTTATTCTTTGTCTTCTGTATTTCTTGCTGCTGAGTTTGCATAGGAACTAGAAAGATAGTATAGCTAGAACTGTGTCATAATACAGTTTACCATCTGTGACAGTCACTGCCTGATAGCCAGGACTGTCATGGACTAAAAAAATAAAAGAAATAGCACCTTATGTGTCTAAAAGTGGAAGAAGACAGGTGCTGGAAACATGATTTAGGCTTCATCACTCTGAGTTTACAGAGAGATAAGGGAGTAAGTAAACTATATTGATGAGAAGTAGAGTTCTCAGCTGGAGGACATAGTGGAATGTTTTCTGTTGATAATGTTTGTTGCAACCTTTGAGCAGTATCATCTTCAGGGAATCCTTCAAGACACTCCTCATGACTTAAAACAAGACTAGAAAACAATTACTTTTCTTGTTCTTCAGTCAAGAAATAGCTTATTTCATTTGATAAACATTTCCCATGATAAATATTTCCATGGAAAATAGCCCTTATCTAAGACATTCTTTATATATTCATGATATGTGGTCAGAAGAAGTAGAACATTGTCTTTTGGCTGTTATCCACTGTATTATTTTGATACATCACTAAGCATATCTTCTGTTGGTTAGGTATTGTGTTTTGCTGTGCTTTTAATTTTGCAATGGAAAGTGAAAGGTCATAGAAGAATATTGGGAGTTTGGGGAAATAAAAAATAAAGATACATACCCCTGGTTTGTTTTTTCTTTCTGTATGAAAGAATTACTTGAGATAAAGAGGTAATTTCTTGATTAATTTTCTGCTTTATTTAAACCAGATTTATTTAAATCTGCTTGATTAATTTTCTGCTTTATTACAAACTGACCCATTTGATGACACTATGCATTTAAAAAATCCATTCGAATCTTTACTTAAAAGAAATTCCTAAATAAGCATTTGCCTGTTTTTCATATTGCTCTGTGGCATTGTACAGAAGATAGCACAGTGTTTAAGGTATAGAAAGTGTATGTTTTAATTGGCACCTGCTCAGCATCTGCCTGGTTGCTCTTCTGCACTACTTCAGACCTAAATTCTGAGTTCAGTGAAGAGGGGGGGTTTGCCCAAAGTTCAGGCTGTGTATTTTGCATCAATATAGATAAACATGATCCTTATGAATCATTATCACTGAGCCCAGTACAATAGCTATTCTAATCCATGCCCCTCTACTGTAAAAACTCCATGTTAGGGACAATATTGGAGCTATCTCTGGATAAGAGAATAAGCTTAGGGACCAGAAAGGTATTAAAACTTAAAAAAAAGCCTAGGGACTATACATATAAAAATAAGTCTTCAATTTGAATAGACTTTTAGCAGTATGGGCAGTATATATATATATATATATATATATATATATATATATATATATATATATATATAAATGGGCAGTATACTTGGAAAATACCTAATTTTTTCAGTCCAGCATTTTTGCTTTGACTGGTCCTTACATGTACTAATCCTTAGCTTATGCTGCATATTAGATACATCAGTTTTTAAAAACTTACTAAAAAATGTACATGTTTCTACTTGTCCATTTTTCTGATTTTAAAGATGTATTAAAATCTGGTTAAAAGCCTGATTGCAGAGACTATGTTTGTATTGTATTTGTATTTGAATCAATTGCAAATGAGTGTTC